GAGAGTGAAGTCAAGTGGGCCTTAGAAAGCTTGCCTAACAACAAGGCCAGTGGAGGTGATGGCATTCCAGTGGAACTAATTAAAATCTTAAAAGATGAGGCTGTTAATATGCTACACTCAATATGTCAGCGGGTTTGGAAACCTCAACAGTGACCAGAGGATTGGAAAAGATCAGTCTACATTCCAAAGAAGGGTAGTGTCAAAGAATGCTCCAACTACCGTACAATTGAATTCATTTCACACACTAGCAAGGTTATACTTCGGCTTAATCCCAAAACGGAATTAAGATTGCTGGAAGAAATATCAACAGCCTCAGATATACAGATGATACCACTCTGATGGTAGAAAGTGAGGAGGAATTAAAGAACCTTGTAATGAGGATGAAAGAGGAGAGTGCAAAAAACGGCCTGAAACTCAACATCAAAAAAACTAAGGTCATGGCCACTGGTCTCATCACCTCCTGGGAAATAGAAGGGGAAGATATGGAGGCAGTGATAGATTTTACCTTCTTGGGCTCCATGATCACTGCAGATGGTGACAGCAGCCACGAAATTAAAAGACGCCTGCTTCTTGGGAGGAAAGCGAGACAGCATCTTAAAAAGCAGATACATCACCTTGCCAACAAAAGTGTTTTTAGTGTCTTGCTGGGCTTGAAAATTCCTTCGGGCTTGAAAATTCCTTGTCAAGTCACCTTGTGCAAAGGCAGCCTAAAAGTAAAGGGAATTATCACATTTTGTTCCCATCGTGCTAAAAATCCATCACTTGTCCCCTAAGCTACAACCGCCAAAAAATTGTAATAGGAACATTTTGACTGAATTCCAACTAGAGTAAACTGGTTAGAGTCCAATCTTGTGTATGTCATCTTGGAAATCACTCCAAACTACAGCAGGATCCACTCCAAGGTCAGTATGATGTATCAGTTTTATTGGCTTTCCAGGTCTTGTTGTATGAGCCTGACTAGCAGACAGTCTGAACACTGATCAGGGATAATGGAGGCTGTAGTCTAAAACATATCAAGGGGTAGAGATTCCATGATGCTGATGTAGACAGGTGTATCAAATTGAATTGAAAGCCCATTGCCACAGACCATGTAAACAAGGAGGAGACCACATAATCAAAAAAAAAAAAAGAGCATGTGAAGGACGACGTAAACATGAACAACATAATGGACCATGGAAAACAAGAGTTTCTGTTTTGTTTTTGTTATTTTTTAAAAGATGGTGAACTAGTTGTAGAAAGGGATTAAATTATTTTCTAGTGGCGTCCAGAGGATTAAGACATGGACAGTTGTGGGGAAGGGCTTCCGAGGATTGTGCCTGACTTTCAAAACATACTGGACGGTGATGTTTTAAAAACATACCCCTGCTGAGATCAATAGGATGTGGTCTAGACTTTTTAGTGGGAAGTGCTCGGAAATCTGTTAATTGAGATAGTTGAGACTCTGCAGAATGAAAGAAATAAAAATGCACTTCAGAGAGAAAACTTATGGGTTATATGAAGGGAGATGAAAGAAACTGTATCACCCTTTCCCTAGAACTTAATTTTATGAATTTGTACGTACTGTGACACTGACAAGGGCTCTATTTTGAGAAGCAAATTCTGTTGCATTTTCTCTTCTGTCTCAGTGGTATGCAGCAATCACAAAACCCCGAACATGTGTTACCTTTTTGCCGATGTATCTGTTTTATGGAGGTGTTGATTTCCACAGATAGTTTTGCATTCAAAGAGGACAAACGTTGCCTGCCATATCAACTGTGTACATATATGCAATGTAAACCCTAGGTCATTTCATACTGGCAAGCAATCATACTAAACACACGTATTTTAAGGGAAAATGCAGTAAAACTAATGCACAATGGTGTGCTGAACATTTTTCACTCTAGGATAGTTTGCAGACAGAATGATGAAACTGGTCTATTTCTGGTCTTGGATTATTTCTGGTCTGGTCACTTTCATGTGGTTTCTCCATTTCTGCATTAATTTCATATTCAAATAAAAGGTTGACTTTTGAATTTAAATATATATATTTGTGAAATACAAATTTCTAAAATTATTTTCTCTTTTAAAAATGCATTTCTCTAGTGTATGTGGATAAACGTATAGTCCCATAAACCTCAGACCATTTGAGACATGTGAATGCTGGAGGAAAGCTAAATTCTAGTCTACACACTAGACTTGAGATTTATGGATCAGATCAACTGGTAGAAATTTGCAAACAGCAGCGTCCTAAAACATACTAATTATGAAGTGAAGAGAAAATTATAATTTTTTAACTTTTTGTTATATAGTCGTTAAGTCGTGTATGACTCTTTGTGACCCCATGGACCAGAGCATGCCAGGCCCTCCTGTCTTCCACTGCCTCCCGGAGTTTGGTCAAATTCATGTTGGTCGCTTCAATGACACTGTCCAACCATCTCATCCTCTGTCGTCCCCTTCTCCTCTTCCCTTCACACTTTCCCAACATCAGGATCTTTTCCAGGGAGTCTTCTCTTCTCATGAGATGGCCAAAGGATTGGAGCCTCAGCTTCAGGATCTGTCCTTCCAGTGAGCACTCAGGATTGATTTCCTTCAAAATGCATAGGTTTGTTCTCTTTGCAGTCGAGGGGACTCTCAAGAGTCTCCTCCCGCACCACAGTTCAAAAGCATCAATTATTCAGTGGTCAGCCTTCTTGATGGTCCAGCTCTTACTTTCATACATTGCTACAGGAAAAACCAGAACTTCGACTATGCGGACCTTTGTTGGCAAGGTGATGTCTCTGCTTTTTAAGATGCTGTTGAGGTTTGTCATCGCTTTCCTCCCAAGAAGCAGGCATCTTTAAGAGGTTCTTTAATTCCTCCTCACTTTCTGCCATCAGACTGGTATCATCTGCATATCTGAGGTTGTTGATATTTCTTCTGGCAATCTTAATTCTGGCTTGGGATCATCCAGTCCGGTCTTTCAGATATATTCTGCATATAAGTTAAATAAGCAGGGGGACAATATACAACCTTGTACTCCTTTCCCAATTTTGAACCAATCAGTTGTTCCATGTCCAGTTCTAACTCTTGCTTCCTGTCCCACATATAGGTTTCTCAGGGGATAGATAAGGTGGCCAGGCACTCCCATTTCTTTAAGAACTTGCCATAGTTTCCTGTGGTCCACACAGTCAAAGGCTTTTGCGTAGTCAACGAAGCAGAAGTAAATGTTTTTCTGGAACTCTCTGGCTTTCTCCACAATCCAGCGCATGTTAGCAATTTCGTCTCTAGTTCCTCTGCCCCTTTGAAATCCAGCTTGTACTTCTGGGACTTCTCGTTCCACATACTGCTGAAGCCTACCTTGTAGGATTTTGAACATTACCTTGCTAGCGTGTGAAATGAGTGCAATTGTACGGCAGTTGGAGCATTCTTTGGCACTGTCCTTCTTTGGGATTGGGATGTAGAATTTTTAAACTAATTCTCCCCAAATAGTCTGTGTACACTTCCAGTCTGAAAAAATACCCTGAGGAAGTGCTGAGAAATTTCCCTGCTTCTTGTGAAAGAATGATACAAGCATGTGGTTGGGTGGGGAATAATGTCAGGTTAAAATAGTGTGCCGCGTTCAGCCAAAGACTAGTATGAAGTCACATCAGAGTGAATATGGTGTGCCAGTTCCAGGGCTGACAGTTTTCTCAATTAATACGAACTCATGTTCTAAGCAAAAGCCATGAAGCCATCCTTTTATTCCTGTTGTCCTGTTACCTTTCGTTCCTTGCTCCCTATTCTTTTTCTTATAATTTTTGGTTTCTAGCTTCTGGATAAATGGGCTGAAACACTCCTGGGAGTTGAAGGTTGTTCAGCGATTAATTTTGAATGTACATTTCCTCTGGATTTCGGCATTAACATCTGCAACATGAATTACAGCCTTCACATCCCAATAAATTCCACCTTTTGACGGCCTACCGCTGCAATACTCGAGACAGAAACTGGAATGCAGGCATTTGAACAGCAATGTTATATGTGTTAGCTCACAAATGAATGAGATGCATCTTATAGAGGTCTGTGAATAGGTAGAATACTCAATGTGTGAGTTTTAATTTACCCTTATTTGGTAGATGACCTTGAGCTAGCAAATGTCACTAAATTCAGTTTATACTTCCTGACATGCCATAGGAGGCTCCACCACACCTGCTACTGGGTGCAATACCTCATATGGAGACACACTTCTTATCTATACAATGCCTTCCTCTTAGAGGCCATGTATGCCCAGTATTGGGTCTTATTTTGACCACAAATTAGCCTTGGGAGGTCCACCCAGACTTTTGAATCTTAGTGATCATTGTGTGGGTTTCGTCCATTGAACTGTGAGTTCTATCTTGTTCTGCACCTGTAAAACTCCTCAAATCATCCCCTCACTGAATGGAATAGGAATTGTGTACCTTGGCTCAACAATCTCTGACACTCTCTCCCTAGATGTCGAGCTGGATAAACGCATTGGGAAAGCAGCTACCATGTTCTCTAGACTCACAAAGAGAGTATGGCTTAATAAGAAGTTGACAGCATACACCAAAATCCAGGTCTATAGAGCCTGTGTCCTGAGCACACTCCTATACTGCAGCGAGTCCTGGACCCTTTGTGCACGGCAGGAGAGGAAGCTGAACACCTTCCATATGCGTTGTCTCCGATGCATTTTGGTATCACCTGGCAGGCCAACGTTCCAAATAGAGTAGTCCTAGATCGAGCTGGAATTTTTAGCATGTGTACATTACTGAAACAGTGACGTCTACGTTGGTTTGGGCATGTTATAAGAATGGCTGATGGTCAGATTCCAAAAGATCTTCTGTATGGAGAATTAGTGCAGGGAAGCCGCCCCAGAGGGAGACCACAGCGGCGATACAAGGACATCTGCAAGTGGGATCTGAAGGCCTTAGGAATGGACCTCAACAGATGGGAAACGTTGACATCTGAGCATTCAGCCTGGAGGCAGGCCTTGCATCATGGCCTCTACCAATTTGAAGAGACACTTGTACAGCAGGCCGAGGCAAAGAGGCAGTCCCGAAACCAGCCAAACCAGGGAGCTGGACAGGGGACAGATTGTATTTGTCTTCAGTGTGGAAGAGATTGTTACTCTTGAATTGGCCTTCTCAGCCACACACTGTTCCCAAGACCTCCATACAGAACACGTTACGATAGGCTCTTGAGATTGAAGGATGCCTACTAGGTGAATGGAATATGACTTGGGGAATGAAACCAGTATTCCAAAATCTAACTGCAGTGTAGGAGATGTGGGTTGTTTTGAAGAGAGACAGCACCCAAGAGAAGAGGCATGCACAATTTTGGAGAACAGAATTGGGTTGTACACGGGATTATAGGCCGTTTTGGCCTTGGCCAATGTACTGTCAGATCAATAGGCCTTTTTCAACACTTACATTTCAATCCTTTCTTATTCTCTCCCCCAACCCAACCCCAAATACCTGTTGCACAACTTCATGGCCATAAATGGTGATGAATTTATCCACTGGGGATGGGACTTGAATTGTAGGACTTGCTGTCAATTAGGACTTAAGTCGTACTGGTGACTCAACTTGGACTTGACTCAAGTTTTTCTCCCAAAAAAACTTGGACTTGACTTGCAGCTTAGGATCCACCCATCCCTCCCTTTTTCTGGGGGGCAAAAACCTTGTTTTTAATAGGGACTCGGATTTGGTGTTTGGAACTTGGGACTTGGTACAAAAGATTCACACTCAGACCTGGGACTCTGACCCAACGATTTTCCAATATCATTGTTTATATTCATTTTGAGGTTTCTTATCCCCCACCTCCAAGCCTCCTTAGGGGTCTCTTTCAACCTAGGATGTAGAGGAGCCTTTAATATTAAAAAAATAACTATTGCCAGTCCCACCGAAGAACCTGGGGGTTGTGGTGAATAAGGTAAAGGTTCCCCTTAACAATTTGTTCAGTCGTGTCTGACTCTAGAGGGCGGTGCTCATCCCCGTTTCCAACCCATAGAACTAGCGTTTTGTCCACAGACAATCTTCCGTGGTCACATGGCCAGCGCAACTAGACATGGAAACTTTAAATCATATATTAACACCCACAGCTGATAATGTCATCAATATGGTAAAGAAATTAATACTGTCTCATTTATGCACTTTTTTCTTAGGTGTTTACCAGATGTCAATATCAGAAGCAGCTGTCCCGGGAGAAGAAGCTGGAAGGGTAAAAGCCAAAGATCCAGATATCGGGGAAAATGGCTTAGTAACTTATAATATTATTGATGGAGACGGCATAGAAATGTTCGAAATCACAACCGATTATGAGACTCAGGAAGGCGTTGTGAAGCTTAAGAAGGTAAGCAATGAAATTCCTTCATTCTTGTTAATGGATAATATACTTCATTTTCCTCCCATGCCTTGTAGAAAATATAATAGCCATAGATTATCACTCATGGTAAGAAAATCACAGCAAATGCAGTTTGGGATAATTTGTTTATGAAGCTATGATTAACTTCCAGCGGCCCATTTTACTGTTATCTGGTAATGCCTGGAGCCAGAATGGAAGGAAAAAAGATTATGGAAAGAAACCAATGATGCATAGAAGCTTCTTAACATCTTTTTAAAGTGAAGAAAGTACATTATTCTTTTACTGATCTTCCACTTGAGAAATCAATGCTGTTCACTCTTCAAAGCATATTGCATATTAACTTGGAAATAAATGATGGGATTGCTTTGGTTATAATCAAGCATTCATTTTCAAGTTGGCAGTACAGTGTGAATTTTCGGATAATGTGAAAATTACAAGGGATTTCTTTTTGTGCCTGTGTTCCTGGTGAAAACTTAATTTCCGTTGTCAATATTCCTTCCAAGTGCTTTTTTTTTCTGAAAGAAAGAAACCGGGGGGGGGGGGGGGGGGAGCAAACGTAGGTTGAATGGATACGATGCTCTCATCAAGAGTTTCAGACTGCCTAAGCTACTTACTAGGTTTCTGCCTGCAGATGGGGGGAAAACCCATATTTCTCAATGCATTGACACTGATGCCATTGCCCAGATCAAAGTGAAGATCTAATGCAAAGCACTACATGAATGCAAGGATTCCCAGAATCATAAGGCACCCCGTGTTTAAACTACCACTGCAAAATTTATCTTCTGTATCTATATTTTCCCTGCAGCTAATACTTATTAGGAAATCCTAAGCAAACTATTCCAAAACATTAGCAGTGTTTCTATGGAAAAAGCCTTGTTCTTATAGATTTTGCTTGAGAGGCTGAAATTGGATGATCCAGGTGTCAGTAGATTGTGTGTCGGCGGGATTCTGCCACAGATTTTGTCCCAGATTGACAGTGAAACAACAACAACGACATTTATTTGAATAATTATAATTGCATGTCTTCAAGTTGATTCTGACTTAGGCTGACCCTTCTCAAGGTTTCCTGAGTATAAAAGACTCAGAAGTAGTTGAATTAGTTGTGTGCTGTCAGATCAGAACTATGTATAGCGACCCTAATAGGGCATTGAAGAAAAGCGAGATATTTCAGGAGTAGTTTTAACAGTTCCAGTGCCTCAGCGCTTGTCACGTTGGGATTTGAACCCTGGTCTCCAGAGTCCTATCCATTACTCTATCTACTACACCACACTGGGTTATAGAAGCAGTTTACTATTTCTGTCTTCTGAGAAAGCATGTCAGCCAGCCCTTTCCCTGGGATGCACATGGTGGAGAAGCACCTGGGAAATTTGCCGGAGTTGGAAAAAGACAGAATGTTCCACAACAAAGACTTTGTTTTTCCTTGAACAGAGCTGGGTCTAAAATCACATCCAAGCAATACACCTGATCCTTCACCAGGAGGGTAAATCCACCTGGTTTAGGGGAGATACGCCCTTCAAACAGGTAGATGGAGCCCCACCCAACAACATGATCTCCATCTTGTCTGTATTCAGCTTGTCTGTGTTCTTCCACATCCAGTTCAGGACTACAGCCAGAAAGCTTTCTAGGTGCTTGACAGCATCCGCATACGGTGGACCCTTGACTTACAGACGGCTTGACTTACAGACTTTTCAAGTTACAGACTTCTCTGGCCGCAAAATTTAGGTTTGACTTGCAGCCTGAGAATTGACTTACAGACCAGAAAAAAACCAAAATGGAACAAAAACGGCCTGTTACGGGATTAATCGGTTTTCAATGCACTGTAGGTCAATGGAGACTTGACTTACAGACTTTTTGACTTGAGAGCCGCCTTCCAATACGGATTAAGTTCTCAGGTCAAGACCCCACTGTATTATTGATGCCTGGTTTGACTTGCAGCCTGAGAATTGACTTACAGACCAGAAAAAAACCAAAATGGAACAAAAACGGCCTGTTACGGGATTAATCGGTTTTCAATGCACTGTAGGTCAATGGAGACTTGACTTACAGACTTTTTGACTTGAGAACCGCCTTCCAATACGGATTAAGTTCTCAAGTCAAGACCCCACTGTATTATTGATGCCCGGAAACTCCACATCTCCTGATGATCTCTCTCAGATGAAACAGCATTGGGGAGAAGATTAATCTCAGTAGGGCCCCATAACTGAGAGCCTGACAAGGTTAAGACCAAGCAGGAAAATCTAGTTTTGCTATATTCAGGTATCAACAATGGTAACTGAGTTCACATCTTCAAAATGTGTAAGTCCCATCCAATCAGTGGGTCTACTGTACTTGGATCTAGCAGTTTGATTTAACCCACAACACTGTGTACACAAATCCCACAAATAATGGGAGGTATTCATTAAAAAAACCCTGTACATGTAAATATATTCTAGAAAAGCGACCTTTCCACTGATAAATTATAAAATGTATTGCTGATAAAATGATACTCTGCTCTTCTTTCTTTCAGCCTCTTGATTATGAAACCAAAAGGACCTACAGTGTGAAGGTAGAAGCAGCCAATATACATATTGACCCAAAGTTCATCAGCAATGGACCGTTCAAGGATACAGTAACTGTGAAAATCAATGTGGAAGATGCTGATGAGCCGCCAGTATTTTTAGCACCATCTTACATTCTTGAAGTGGAAGAGAATGCAGGCCCAGGTGCTCCAGTTGGGAGAGTACATGCCAAAGATCCTGATGCAAAAAACAGCCCAATCAGGTAAGTTCGCAAAATGAGAAGGGTGGCTTCACAGAAAATGAAGGAGCCCCCTTTGCCAAGATCCTCCATTGCGTATCCTACATATATTTTGGTGTACAATTTGAATGCTTCCTGTCCATTGGCTAGGGCCGGGGTATAAAATGGAAATTGAAATCCAATATACTCAGGAAAGAACATCTAAGGAAACCTGCTCTAAGTGTTAATTCAGAAATCTGTCATGCGTGAGAACCATTTCTCCCCTCTTCACTTGAAAAAAAATCGAGATACATTCTATTGGTCTCAATAAGAGTTTTTGGACAGGGATGTGCACGGAGAAAATGTTGCATTTCTTTCATTTCAGGTTCTTTCAGGGGGTCTTCTGCCTTCTTTCATTTTCATATTTTCCATTCACCAATTATTATTATTTTTACATGAAAGAGAAAGTCATTTCCAGGTTTCCCATTCATGTCTCCCTGTTCTTGTTTTCTAGCACTCCAAAAGAACCCTAAATAACACTTAAACCTACTCCAAAAAATAAACAAAGAAAGAAACAGAAACCAGAGGCAAGGCAGAAAAAAAAAATCAATCTACCCTCAAAGCAAGCAACACGATATGAGAAAGAAAAATCAGCGTCATCGAACATATGCAGATGCTCATTGATATTATCACATTCACACAGTGCAGTGGCACATTGGCACAATCACAGAGCCAATCCTGTGGCCCAGACAAAACCCCAGAAGCAGTCTTTTGAAAATCTGCTAAAGTGCATACCTTTAACAGAATAAATGATCAACCCTGCCTTCCAAATCTGAAACTATTAAAGTATGGGGAGATTTATCCTCCCCTTACCATTTCATTCTTTTTCTTCTCTTCTTTGAGACCACTAGGTAAAGGTAAAGGTTCCCTTTGACATTTAGTCCAGTTGTGTCTTGACACAACTACGGGAGGCAGTGGAAGATAGAAGGGCCTGGTGTGCTCTGGTCCATGGGGTCACGAAGAGTTGGACTAAATGATGACGACTTCTGACTCTAGGGCACAGTGCTTATCCTCATCTCCAAGCCGTAGAGCCAGCATTTTGTCTGTAGACAGTTTCCATGGTCACGTGGCCAGCGTGACTAGGCATGGAACGCTGTTACCTTCCCACCGTGGTGGTACCTATTCATCTTGCATTTTTACCTGCTTTCGAACTGCTAGGTTGGCAGGTGCTGGGAGCTCACTCCGTCATGTGGATTCGATCTTACGACAGCTGGTCTTCTGACCTTGTAGCCCAGAGGCTCCTTTCATGTTTTGAGCGTTTTGTTTAAAGACAATAGGCTCCTCCCTGTTTTTTAACCCTCGAGAAGAATTTCCTTTTTTGCACAAATCACACACATTGCTTAACTAAACTATAACAATTGCTGCTTTTCAGGATGGACTTTAAAAATTAGGTCAGATGAGGTATATACATCTTATTGATTGATCAGTCAATCTTTTTCTGCTTGCTGTACACTTGGGGCTCATTTTTAAACTGAGTTTTAAAAGAACTGTTGTGGACATGGTGCTCCTTTTGTAATGCAGCCAAATATTATGGGCTGGCTAGGTTTTCATTACAAGGCAAGAAGATGCATGCTTCTAGTGACCTCACTAAATCCATTTTGTTATGTTAACTGTATGATAGACCCTTATTGAGCAATCCTCAGAAGAATTAAATGAAAGTTTCAGTTTTCTTTTGTTTTTTTATATGCAGTACGTTCAGTCTCCAATGGCTAGCAGCCACAAAGACCAAGTTGGAGTATGATTATTTTTTTCAAGCCCTCAACACAGTACTGAAGAGGCCGCATTAGAGATAAATTTGCAGTAAATGAACAGGAATCATTTCAATAAACTGGCAAATCATGAAGCATATAATGATACAAATTACACCGATACTGGTTGCTCTCAAATGGCTTAATGGGAAATGTTAGAACATATGGGAAATCACGTCTCTAGTGGAGAAGGATTTTTACACAGGAGGTGGGATCCTGATAGAGGTGCATGCTGCCAGTTTCATGGAAAGGGAGATTTCCATGTACGTATTTCACTCCAGGGTTGCCTTCCAGCCACCTGTAAACGGTGGGCAGAGGTCTTAGGTTCCTGCTGTATAGAGTGAGAAGTGGTGCATAGAGAGGCGTACCTTCTGTCAGGTGAGCTTTTCCACTGGTGGAAGGCGGATATTGTAACAAAGGAATCTCACACCACTGGAATCACACAGTCATGTTGATGAAAATTGTATTGCTGTGTCAAGTTGTTGTTGCCTCCGCTTCCTTCACTTTGCTAAATACTCGGCCGTCCCCATGTTTTCTATTCCCTTCCTGTACCTCATCCAATTCTGTCTTTCTGCTTCGGGGTTCTCCTCGGAGAGTATAGTGCTTGTCCAAGACATCCCATTGGGAAGCAGGGGGGAGCTGTGGGAATCTCCTTTAACTTTCCTTCTGGCGCACAAGCCCCCCCCCCCCGGCTGTGCCTGAACCTACTTTAGCAAGTCTCAACCCTTCCGGCTTCAACCCACATTGTCCCGGCCCTGCAAATTTTTCCCAAATTTGCCAATAAGGTAATTGACCTTAGGTGGTGTCAGGGTTATTAAGATGGGAAAGTTTATCTCAAATCCTGTACCATAAAAAGACATAATGTCATCAAATCATGGATTTCTTCACTTCCACTAGTAGCAACCAGTGGCAAGAAACTACAGAACATTCATTCATTCATTCATTCATTCATTCATTCACTCACTCACTCACTCACTCACTCACTCACTCACTCACTCACTCACTCACTTACTTACTTACTTACTTACTTACTTACTTACTTACTTACTTACTTACTTACTTACTTACTTACTTACTTGCTTACTTACTTACTTACTTATTACCCATCCTATATCACAAGATCTCAGTCGAGGAGATGGCCACAGAGCTGTATATGTACATTTACCACTGTACATAAATGGCGAGGAAGTGGAGAGAGTTGGTAGTTTTAAATTTCTGGGCACTTACATCTCAGAGGACCTCTCATGGAATATAAATGGCAACATGCTAATGAAGAAGGCACAGAGGAGGCTGTATTTCCTGAGAATGCTCGGCAAGTTCAATTTATCTCAGCATTTACTTCTGTCATACTATCGTAGCACCATTGAGAGTGTCCTAACTTATGGCATTCTGGCATGGTTTGGGAGTAGCTCTGTAGCGGACAAAAAAGCTCTACAGAGAACCATTAAAATTGCCCAGAATATCGTTGGGTTCCAGCTACCAACCCTGGATTGACATCTTCACATCCCGCTGTCTAAGAAAATCACATAGCATCCTGAGAGACTCTTCCCATCCTGCTTATAACTTTTTTGAACTGTTACCATCTGGCAGAAGATATAGAACAATTAAGACTCGGATCACACGTTTTCTCAATAGTTTTTAACCCACAGCTATAATTGCAATTAATAATGAGCTTAAAGACCACCAGTAGTGAATAGTTAGTTGGACTGTGTTACTTGGCCTGCGGTGTAGATGTTTGTATTTTTAGATGGGGACTTTTAGTGGGTGGGGAGTGTTTGGGGAATTTTTTTAGTCCTTTTGTTTCTGATCATGGGGCGTTCTTGGCAAAGATACTGGAGTGGCTTGCCATTTCCTACTCCAGGTGGATTGCGTTTAGTCGGAACTCTCCACTATGTCCTGTCCGTCTTGGGTGTCCCTGCACGGCATAGCCCATAGCTTCTCTGAGTTACTCAAGCCCCTTCGCCACGACAAGGCAGCAATCCATGAATAAATAAAACGATCTAAAAACATAAAATTCTTTAAAACAATTTAAATTAAAAGAGTTTAAAACAAGAAGAATTAAAACATTCAAACCCTGAAACCACTGCATTGGAACCTGTGTGGGCCAAGACCTTCAATCCCCAAAGGCTCTAATAAATAAGCATGTTTGACTTAGTAGTGAAATGATGTCAGCCTTTGGTACCAGTTTGCACAACGCGCAAAGAAAAGGCTCCGTGTGGGGGCGTTGCTTTGAGTGGCAGCCTTAGTTCGAGTCTTTAAATCACACAGTTATTGAAAAGTGGAAGAAGGTCAGGCCACAAACCCTAACCCTAACCCCAAACTAGAGGGATAAATAAAAAAAGGATGCCTGTTTTACATCTTATGCAGGGTTCCAAACAATGGTGTGGAGGCGGGTGCTAAGCACATGGCAAATACCCACAATTTCAGACAGTTTGCATAATTTATAATTTATTTCTTTAACTTTTTTTTCCAAAAAGGAGAAGAAAAAAATTGAAGAAATCATTGTGCGCCCACTTCCATTTGGGCTCTGGGCCAACTTGGTTTCTGATCCCCCCCCCCCCCAGAACC